GCCCGGGCCGGGCCCCCAACTCGTCGCCAGCGCCTTCGCTCGCCGCTCGGTGTAGTGGTCTTGCCCGCCAGTGCCGTGTGGCCGGAGGGGTCAGCGAGTCCCCGCCCTGAAGCGGCCAGGCGCTACTGGCCACAGAGTTTCATCTGTTTACCCACTTCCCCTCCTCGTGGGCTTCTGTGGCCGGGGAGTGAAGCGAGTTGCACTCTCTCATGCTTCTTTGCGCTTCGAGAGCACTTAGAAAGGCCCGGGAGCTGGGAAGAAGCTGACCTCACTTAACAGCCATAGGTACCTGCTGAGCGTTTGAGAAGTGATTCAGGCAGGTGATGTTACAGGAGGAGTCACTAGGCTTGCTTGATGGAAGGTAGAAGGCTCAGGTGTGGGCCTGCATGCAGTCAGGCAGTGGTCTTGGAGGGCAAGGGCTCTGCTGCCGAGATAACCACCGTGGTGTTACTGATGGCGTGCGCAGGTGGTGAGGTTGTGAGTAACCCTGAGTGGAAGGGCTAGAGGTGCAGGTGAGGTTTTGGCTGTCTGAGTTACACCTGTGGAATCTTAAAATTACAAACTCTGAAATGGGAAGATTTTGATCTCCCATCAATATTTGGCATGGTGGAATGACAAGAGTTGAAGATCACCCCACCCTCCTGTTTTTCTATTAAGAACTGGATAGAAAGAAGAGAGCTAGAATGAAAAATGTCAGAAAAGGAGTTGATATGGAAAGGCTTTCGGGTACTTACTTTTAACCATAATAACAGCAGTTTCTAGGCAGCTGTTTCTAGGCAGAGCTTCAGGCAGGCAAGGATGAATCTGGCCAAGCTACAGTAGCGAAGAGTATATCTGAGCGTTATCTGTTGTGGTTGTTAAGTGTGCTTTTCCTATTTATACATTAAGACTGCTGTCTATAGAGGCTGTCAAGGGAGAAGGGAAGGGACTCAAAATTTCATACCCTATAAAACAGAGGAAGACTAGAATGTGCTGAAAGTTGTGCCAAAATGATAGGGTAGGAGATACCCAAATTTTTTACCCTATTCTTATCTAGTGACCAAGTTTCAAGAGCTGAGGGAGATTTCATGGGGTTGGTGATAAGGTCAAGTACTGCAATGCTCAAGAAAGATGAGACCCTCTGTGTTGTGTCCAAATGGGACCATTGCTGCTGTCCACATGCATCTCTAACAGCATAGCTACATATACTGGTTTTAGTTGGGATAGAGTTAATTTTCCTCACAGTAGCTAGTATGAGGCTGTGTTTTGCTTGTGCTGAGAATGTTGATAAAACAATGCTGGTTTTAGTTGTTGCTAAGCAATGTTTACATTAAGTTAAGGACTTTTTCAGTTTCTCATACTGCCCCTGTGTTCCCAACTGCTTCACTACAAGAGGCTGGGAGGGGACACAGCCAGGACAGCTGACCCCAACTGACAAAGGGGATATTTCATGCCATGAGACATCATGATCAGTATATAAGTTTGGGGAAGTGGGCTCAGTGTGTGAGAGTGGGAGTGTCTCAGGCTCTGGCTGCTGAGGCGCTGGCTGGGCATCAGTCAGCAGGTGGTGAGCAGTTGTACCATTTGTTTTCCATTATTTTAATTACATAGTAATAGTAATTACTATTATTAGTAGTTGGTCATAGTAGTATCATTATTTAATTTCATTTATTTTCAATTTTTAAATTGCTTTTATCTCAACCCATGAGTTTCCTTGTCTTTTCCTCTGATTCTCTTCCCCATCCCACTGGGGAGGAGGGGTGAGGGGTGTGAGTGAGAGGCTGTGTGCTGCTTGATTGCTGTCTGGGATTAAACTATGACACTGCAGATTTCATTGTCATGTCAGATGTCCCGGTAGGGTTACTGTTTCATACGAAGAGCTGTTAATTGTGCCATTTGTGGGGGTTTGTACTGCTGATGTAAACTGAGTGCATGTATGACAGTAAAAAGTCTTTGTTTGACTGTTTTAACGTATATAATGTTCTCTTATCTTCAGCCATCAAAAATACAGAGCTATTCTGAAGAAAGAAAAGAGGAAAAAAAAGCGGCAGGCACTCGCCAAACTCAGAGACTCAGGTGACTGCTAAGTGTTTTGTGCTATCAGTGGAACTAGTAGTGACAGGTTTTTTTCTTTTTGTTCTTAAAAAGGATATAATTTTTTGTATATCTGCTGACTGTAGCATCTGGTTATTTAGATGCATTGTTTTGTGTGGTTTTTTTCTCAGAAGCTACAGAAAAAGATGAATCAGTATCTGAGGAGGAAGAGGAGGAACTGGAAGAGGAAGAAGAGGAAGAGGAAGAAGAAGAAAAAAAACTTGAGGCAGAAAGGTGAAAATCAGAGAAAATGGCACATATGCAGTAGAAACATTTGTAGTCAATTCCATTTTGATACTTAGAAAAATTTCAATATATATTGTGTAAAACTGAACCTTTTTTGTATATTTCAGGCTACACATTTTTTTTCTCTGAAGCCTGAATGATTCCTATGGAATTTTCTCTTGTAAAGAAGATGAGATAAGCTGTAGTTATTGCTGAACTGTGCATGACAATTGCATCCGTTGTGTGTAGTCTTTAAATTTTGTCTTAGTGGCATCTGGTTTCCTTGGCAGACAAAAACTACATGAGCAATGGTTGCTGAGAGAAGAAAAGGCCCAAGAAGAGTTCAAGCTTAAGAGAGAAAAGGAAGAGGCCGCAAGAAAACGTCAAGAAGAAGAAGAGGTGATGTATAAACTGCGTGTTACGGTTGTGTCTGGCAATAAGGTAGACTTACCTTTTACTGTCCTGCTATGAACACAGTTTTCTTGATATTGGTATGTTTGAAAGCATAAGCTGTTCTTTCTTCTGTTCTAGAAGAGTAAAATTAAAAAGGAAAAAAACCCCTAGACTCTTTTTAAAGAGTTTTTGTCCAGATGCTCAGTTGCTTATGACTGGACGAAAGCTCAGTGGACAAGGAGTTGTCATGCAACATGATAGTTTTGAATTTGACTGATTATAAAACATTTGTTTCCTTAAATAATTTTCTGGGTTTTTTTTTTTCCATCACAAAGAGGAAGATCCGAGAAGAATGGGAAGAGCAGCAAAGAAAGGAGAGAGAAGTGGCACAGCAGAAGCAACAGGAGAAAAGAGAGAGAGAGGTGATTCCTGGCAGTGGGAGGATAGACATGTTATATATCCTCTTACATTATCAGATGCAACAGTCAGTACATGTTGAAGAGGGATTTTATTCTAATTAGCAAACTTGTAAATGTGTTAGTTACTTCTCTCCATTCTGACTAAGTTCTTGAAATTATTATTCACTGTTAAAGCGGATCTAATGAATCCACATACGCAGAAGGACAGCTCGTTTTAACGCATCTGGTTGCTCGCAGTATGTAATTTTCATACATCAGTTAAGTGCAAAGGCACGCTGTGAATGCAGGTTCCGATACGTGCACTTCTTGCATGGTGCATTAAAGATAATTCTTAGTGTCCCTGTTGAGCACAGTCAGTGTTGAAGAAAATACCCAGTGAGGATATGGAATTACATTGCTGCTGTTCCTTAACACAGTTCTTAATCAAAAGATGTATTTCAGCTCCTCTTTACCTGACTCATCCAACAGGCCGTATCTTTTTTTCAGAGCTCCTTGGGTGGAGAAAAGAAATGATACTGAAGATACTAGTCATTGATAACCTTTCTGTTAATGATCCATTCTTCTTAAGTTTTAGAAGTGGAATGAGCTGGATAGATTTCGATACAGGACATCTTAAAACTTGAGGGCTGGCCTATCGCCAGTGAGGGTGATCACAACTCCCTAGGGTCTGGTTGTTTTACAGATTCACAGATTGAGTGGAAGGGGTTGGAAGGGACCCCCAGAGATCATCTAGTCCAACCCTCCTTCTCCAAAGTCACAAAAAGATTGCGGTCATTTCAGTGGGAGGTGTCTTGCTGCTCTGTTTGGTAGTTGTGGAAGGAGAAGAGGCAGGAGCAAACAGTAGTGTCTCCTGCAGCTGTGTCACTGATCATGTAACGCTTGCATGAGGAGTGAAAAAGAACAGTTGTTATATTTCCTGCCTTACTTCCTCTTGTGTTACGTGTCAATTTCTCTTTTTGCAGAGTAGGGAGAGAAAATGATGGTCGCGTCCTTTATTTAAGGTTGAGATATAGTTCCAAGAGAGTTGAACCGTGGTAACAGCGGGATTTTGTTCCTTCCCCCTCCTTGTGTCTGGGTTTGTGTGAGCCCTCAGTGGGCTATCTGGTTCCCTGAACTAGATGGAAGATGCTTTTTTGTGGGTTGTTGGTTTGTTTGTGGTGGGTTTTTTCTGGTTTACTCTTTTACTGGTTTAGTGAGCCCAGTTGGCTTGTAGAGAGCATTGACAGGCACCCAGAGGGAAACGAGTACCCAGCGGGGAGTGGAGCCACCCGTTTCAGCAGCGGGAACGTTCGTTTGGCCTCTTGAAACAGCAGTGTGTTCAAATTCTGACTTACTGATTGCAAAGATTTTTTTATTTCTCCTCCCTAAGGTGAGATCTTCTGGTTTGGTGATTGTTTTGGGGGTCTGGTTGGTTATTTATTTATTTTTTTATTTTATTAAAGTGGGTAATACCTGACATGCCTGATGATTAGTATCAGATGCTGTCTGGGTCCTCCTCTGGGATTGCATTTTTTTGCATTTTTATTTGCTCTTCTTTTTTTTTTTTTTTAATCTAATTCATTCTCTTCTAAATTTGAACAATGCTAGCATTTTTTTTATTATTGGTTATGTTTAAATGTCTTTTTTCTAGACGCTTCCTAGAATAATTAGATAAATACCAGCCAGTTTTGGAGAGTGACTTTTATTGTTTTCGTCAGCCCAGAAGGCATGAAAAGAATATCCTCATTGTTTTCCTGTATTTGGAAAGCTAGATAAAGTGAACTTCAGACACTGAAGTTTCTTAACAGTTACATGTTTTGCTTTAACGGAGGCTCGCTAAGCAATGTGTTTTTCTGTGTGTTAAAAATTATGTTCTCAGTTAAAAAGTTTAGTGCAACTAAATGATTATGAATTTAACTGTAACCAGACTGAGTGCTAGAGCAGGAGATACATTTAAGTATTCAATAGTTCAATGATAGTGTAAAAAAAGAAGAAGAAAATGAAGCTTTAAGTTGTCTGGCATTTAGATTAGAAAATCACCTACATGAGGGTCTTGTCTGATGTATCCTTTAACAGCTCTGTAGTATGTGAACTGCTGCAGAGCAGAAGACAGACTTGGGTTTTTTTAAAGCAAACATCATCAAACTTTTATTACACGTAATCATGGAGTATTGTAAATTAGGTTCTTAACTAAAGAAACCAGATGTTTTGCGTGTCCTCAGGGTTTTCACTAGTCCTGTGTTTGCACCATTTATAGGCAGCTGTGCAGAGGATGCTGGATCAAGCTGAAAGCCAGGTATGCTCAGAGACTCGATGAAGAAGAACTGAAAAGTAATTTAATTGCCATCCGGTGTTTCCCTTCAGCATGTTGTCCATCTGCTCTCAAGAACCTAATGGCCTGAATAAATTTAATATCTAGTGGCTTGCATGAGCTGTAAAGAATTATTTACTGGGTGGAACATAATTAACCGTATTTCTGGCTGGTTGGTGGCAGTGCAGTTGTGCGTGCTCATTCCTGTTCAGGAGAGCTGAGTCAAAATGAATCTGGAAGTACTGCTGTGTGCTGTTAAAAACCACTATGCATGATGGTTTATTTGTGAATTAGAATTCTAAATCAATCTGTCATTCCTTCTGGGTGGCAAGACAAACCTGTCTTTAAGCAGATGGCAGGATCTAAATGAAAGGATTCAGCAGTAGAGGAGGGCACAGATCCTTGAGAAGAAAAAAAAAAATAAGGTGGGGGAGGGGGAAGCTGCCTGCTCCAGTGCCATGGATCTCAAGCTGGCAGTGTCTGATGCAGAAAACTGCATTCTTCATTTGAATCTTAGAGAGGAGGAGTTCCATCTCTCCTGCTGCCTCAAAGAATAATCTTGGGTTTTATCCCAGTCATACAGTTAAACTCGTAAAGATTCTTGCTCTGCTTAAACCGCTGCATGAATCTGAAAATTAAAATTTTTACCTAATTAATTCATTGTGTGTGTTGATGACCACAGCTACATTGGAGTTGCATTCAGTTCCAAATTACATTTAAACAGTTTTCAAGTAGGGAATCTTTGTCTGATAACATGGGTAGAGCAATGCTCTGAACTGCGACCTGCCCAGAGCTTCAGATGCGCTCACAGCCCCTTCTGCAAGGGAATAGGCAGAAGTGGGGTATGTGACAGACTTCACTGTAGTACCAGCTGAGGGTTCGGCCACTTACTGTTGAAGCTACAGCACTGTTTCGTTGAAAGAAAATGAGGGCTGAGAGTCAGGAACAGAACTGGTGGCAGGATCAAATGCTGCTTGTAAATAGAGCTTCCAGGTGGTTTAAAATGAGAACTGAGGGTAGTTGGCTCCACAGATCTTCCGGCTGACAAAATGAAAATTCCCTTTTTAAAATGTGTGTTTTGTTTGTAGTCAGTCAATGCTTGCAACTTGATAATTCCATTCTGAATTACGGAAATCTTAAAGCACAGTAGCTTTTAATTCCAGTGTTAGCTATGATTTTAATTTTTTTTTTTTTAATTCTGGGTTTTGGCAGGTTCCTTTTATTTTAGCCTTTTCTAGCTGCAAGAAAAGTGATAATGGTAACCTTACTGAGCTTTACACTGTTGAAAAGACAAATAAGTAAACGGTCCTGGCTTTCTACCTGCCAGGTGTATAAAGTGCTGCTCAGTGGGTCCTGGAGTGATGTAGGTAACGGCCTTACCTGAACAGAAAGAATCTGTCCCAATATTTATAATTCTCATAGATGACAAATGAAATTGGTTTTTGAGGACTAAATATTACTGCAACTCTTTTGGTTGGACAAGCTTCGTAAGATTTTATTTTAACAAAACAAAATGTCCAGTTTGGGCCTTTTCTGTTTGTTTGTATGTTTGTTTTTGTTAAAAAGAAATCCTGTTCTTAAAACCGAGCACGGTCAAGAAAAGAGGTCTCCATCACCAGAGACCTAAGGCACTGGGTGGGCAGCTTTATAAAAGAAGGCTTAAAATAGGTTGAGCTTGGCCTGTAGTGCTTGGCCCTGTGCTCATAACTGCATGTGGATTTAATTGGTAGTTTTATTTTGACATTATGTTTCTTAATTCTTTTCTAATTTCTCTATATTGTGATGCTTTTCCACAGCTGGAGAACGGTGTCAGCTGGCATAACCCAGAGCCCCCAGAGAATATAGGAACAGAGAAAGATAGAGCGAATTGCCCATTCTACATTAAAACAGGTTCCTGCCGATTTGGAGACAGGTAATCGACTGAATATTTACCAGCATACAGGTGTTTTGGAGAGATGAAAGGGAAGCAGCTTCATTAGGTCATATGCAAACAGAAGGCAAATTGCTGTGTAAATTATTTTCACGTGTTTGGATGCGGTTCTGTTACTCGTGGTGGAACCAGGCATGGTGAGCAAAAGCATCGTCTGCTTCTAATTGGACTGTTTGGTGTTAGGGCATATGACTGATGCCCCATTGTGGTGGCATGGGTCAGACTGGCTTTTCCTGAGCCCCGACAGATGCACAGATAGATTCAGGCGGAATATAATTCGGTTTCTGCTATTAGTATGGGCCTGCTCTGTCAGGTATTGTCTTTCAAGTTGCCCAGTTTGCATATGCTGCCTCTTTATAAAGATAAAAATCAAATCTCAGGTGGGCTGAAGCACGTTAAGGTACATGTGCACAGCTGAGAGAGCTGGTGCATAGCTTCCAGAACTCTCCTGTTCGTGTACTGGTTAAACACATGATACATTTCTTCTCAATTTTACTGTATTTATTTTTATACTGTTACGGGTGCCTTGTCTTGGGAAGGAAGTGTAGTAGAATGCAAGAAAAAAGGAGGACAAGAAGACAATCAGAGATGAGGAACGGCTTCTGTAGGAGTGGCGGCTGATTAGTCTGGACTCTGCGTTCAGAGAGGGTGATGGAAATGGCTGTGGTAGACGAACACTGAACGCACGAGCAGGGTGGGAATGAGTATTTGCTTTTGTTACGGAATAGTTTAGTTGGGTGTCCCTGAGTGTTTATCAGCTTTAAAAAAAAAAATCAAGCAAGCAAGTGCTTTCTTATATGAAACAAACAGTGAAACTTGTTGCTGGAGGACATAGAGGAAGCCAAATGTATAAATGGGCTCGTGGAGTACAAGTTCATTGCTGACCATTAAAGATGGTGACCCAAGTGCAGCATCTGGCTAGAAAATCTGTGATTTTTTTTTTGTGTGTGTGTTTAGCAGGTAAAATAGCTCAGCAGGGAAACACTCTGATACTTACTACTTGAATCTTCAGCTTATACTGAAAAGGTTATTTTACTAAAATGTATCACTGAAACATGTGTGGTCCATCTGTTGGAGTTTTTATTCTAGAAACAATTTGGTTTAGTGTGATATATATTGTGGATAATGGGAAGCTTCAAGTCCACATCTTTTTTCTGTTCTGAAAATGTGCTGAATTCCTAAATAAAACTGTGGCCAGCTATTTCACTTCAGGCAGCATTTTTCATTTTCAAAGATTTAGTTCTTTGTAATCTTTGCGGTATTTTTGTTTCAGTGGTATTTAATGGAGGTGACCTCCTTGGATTAATTATGGATTGGATGAAAATCAGTTTTGTTTTGAATAGGCCTAGTAAATAAGTACTGAGAAACATCATATTCTGCCCTTCCTCTCTCACCTGTAGTTGTTGATCTCAGCTACCTCTCCTTCATCTTTCTTCCTCCTCCTCACCTGCTTCCTTCCTTCCTTCATATTATGGTCATTTTAACCTCTCGTGTTGGCCATAAGTGGAAGGACTGAGATGCAGCCAGGATAAGGGCTGGAAGAATGGGTTGGAAGCTGAAACGAACCACAGTGGTGAAAAATTGAGAGCCAGTGTTATCAGTAAAATATTTATTCAATCTTGTCAAAGCTCACTATGTCTTGAAGAAGCTAAACTGTCGTGAGTTCACTGTTATAAATTTCTCCTGTAAGCAAACCCTTAGTATTTTGTAGTAATACTGGATTTTGAGTCATTCGTTTTCCTTGGGGTTCCTTTTGTTCCGTCACGTGCTGTATCGGTGTACAGACAGTATTGGTTGGGTATAATGTCTTGAGTTCTGTCTTTCCAATAGAACAGTGAAATGAGGAAGCTTCTGAAATGTAAAAGAAAAAAACCAATCAAATTAATTGTCTCCAGTTTGGGGGTTTGGGTTTTTTTTGTTGTTTGTTTTTTTTGAAGTCTAAGGTGCCAACCCAAAGCGAGAGTCAACTTCTGACTGACTGGATGTGGAGAGAAGACTTCCTGTCTGAAGTCTGGTTTGTAATTACCCATTCTGAGACCTGACCTCCCTCCCATTTGTCTGTGCTTTGCCAGTGCCAGATAAAGAGTAGGCTTGTCTGACTGTCTTTCTGATGATGCTGTGAAAAGGAGCAGCGTGCTGGAGGGTGCAGGACCTGGTTGCTGTGGAAGATGTTTGAGCCGGAGCTCATACAGCACGGTGAAATAAGCATGGAGGCAAACATCTGTGTTCTTCCTGAACCTGAGGATTGGTGGGGAGGAATTGTATTTCAGCATGTGAGGGAGGTATCCGGAGTATGATGGATGCTGAGGGAGATCTAATAGTTCCATGGCTGCTGAGAAGGTGCAGATTAAGATAAGACTGACTTATCAGAAACTTGCTTTTTTTTAAAAAAAAAAAAGTGGAAAAATCTCATTCCCTTACTCACCCAACTTCAGGTCTAAACGTGCTTTCCCTGCCTCCCCGCTCCCCCGTATAACAGAATCATAGAATCACTAGGTTGGGAAAGACCTTAGAGATCATCCAGTCCAACCGTATCTGTCCGCCAATGCGAACAGCTTCAGTAAAAGTTGTTCAGTTTGCAAAAAGAATAGCAGGGCCTTGCATTAAAATGTCTTAACAGATTGTCAGTTGTCTTTCTGTAAAGCCCTTCAGAAATGGGGACATGTCTAACCCTGGTAGCCTAAAAGAAACAACTTTAGCTCTTACTGTGTCACTGGTATCTTTTGCAGAGGTGCTTTTTACAGCAGGACTGTATTTATGCGTGGCAGAAGGCATTAGGATTATATGCAAAGTCACTTCCAAAGGACTTAATAATTGAAATACGTTGATCTTGCACTAATGGATTTTCTTCTGTAATAGCTGTTACCCAAAATGGCAGGTTTTAACAGCTGCATCTTCTGCTGACCCTGCTGATCTCTTCGCTTCTCTTTCTTCGCTGCCAATGTCCAGGTGCTCTCGCAAGCATAACTACCCGACATCTAGTAAGACGCTCCTCGTTCGAGGGATGTTCATTACTTTTGGCATGGAGCAGTGCCGGAGAGATGACTATGACACAGACGCAAGTCTCGAGTACAGCGACGAGGAGACCTACCAGCAGTTCCTGGAGTTCTACGAGGACGTACTCCCTGAGTTTCAGAATGTGGGGAAGGTTGTTCAGTTCAAGGTATGCATTTAACAGCTGCTTCGGTACGTAACGTACGCCACCTCAGCTGTGATTCACTAGCCTTAACGGGAATGCTGTCCAGCATGCCCTAGCTAAATCCCACCCACATCAAAGAGCTGTACATTGCCCTTGCAGCAAACTGCGTCTCTCATGTCAGCAGTAAACTTGTCACTTGTAGAAGATGGGATATAGTTTCCCAGTGAAGTGTGGGTTGGAACGCTGTCTTACAAAGTCGAGGATCTGCGTTTGATGGTATCCTCGCTGTTAACTGCAGCCGTGCTAAGCTGCACGTACTTGTGTGCCTGTGACTAACAACAGGGCAGGAGCCTTCGGTGTGGCATCTCTTACTTAGCTTCTGTGGGAATCGCGCAACTGTTAACGTGTTTCTCGTGGACTTTCTCGTTAGGTCAGAGAGGCTTAGAAATCACGTCTTGGCGGTGGTCCAGTTGAGTCTCTGCTACCTTTTGGAACCAGGTTATACACACCCCTCTTCAGCTGACTTCCTTTCCAGTGCAGCCCAAAGTTTTCTTCCTCTTCTTTCTGGGAAGCTACTCCAGAATCTGGCATCTCCTTACAAAACACGCTCCTTTTCCCACCCATAGCAAAATCATTCTCCCTTGTTCTCACGTTGGCGTTGCTGATCTCGGGTAGTTTGGCTGCTTACTCTGCAGTATTTAACTTTGCAGCCCCGGCCCAATGCAGCACGCAGAGCGGTATCTCCCAGTGTCAGTCAGGGAGCCACGATGGAAGGAGCTGCCTGCCTCATTTGGTGCGGGTGTTGGAAGAAGCCCAGGGGCTGGGCTCCTCTTCCCTGGAGAGCAGGGTTCCAGCCTGCTCAGGCCTGCCCGTTCCAGAATCCTTCATTACAAGCAATCAGCTTTCTGGAAGTCAAATTGTGTCATTTGAGAGCTATAGATATACTTTTCATGCTAAATTATTATGAAAAAATAGCTTTTCTAACTCATCTCATAGGGATGCTGTGAATCAAAATCACTCTAAAGATTCTTTTACCATAATGAATCCCACATTTCCGCGTGAGGATTTCACTAATTGTTTTTAGAGCAGGATTTGGCTGTTGCACAGTAGGGCTGGCCCAGAGGAGTGCGAGACGACCAAGTACAAGCTGTCTGATGGACTAAGTGACTAACACGCGGATCTCGGCTTCAAAGCGTAGCGCTGGAAACAGTCAAACATAAGCCCAGAGGACGCTCTTTTTTCCTCCAAAACTTTTTATTTGGCTAAAACTAAGTGTTCAGAAGAAAGTCACGTGTAAGTTCATATAGGGACTTTTTACAAGGGCCTGTAGTGACAGGACAAGGGGTAATGGGTACAAATTGAAAACAGGGAGGTTTAGATTAGATATCAGGAAGAAGTTTTTCCTGGAGAGGGTGGTGAGGCACTGGAACAGGTTGCCCAGAGAAGCTGTGGATGCCCCATCCCTGGAAGTGTTCCAGGCCAGGCTGGATGAGGCTTTGAGCAACCTGGTCTAGTGGAAGGTGTCCCTGCCCATGGCAGGGGGGTTGGAACTGGATGATCTTTAAGGTCCCTTCCAACCCAAAGCATTCTATGGTTCCATGATAGCTGAGCTGTCACAAATCGCAACAGCTGCCATCTCAACACGTGTGAGCTGCTGTGTAGCCATAAACCTTCCCTTGCACTAACTTAGTGTTTCCACCCCCTTAGGTCAGCTGCAACTACGAGCCTCATCTGCGAGGAAACGTGTATGTCCAGTACCAGTCGTAAGTACCCGCCACCTTGCTACGTTCTGGAGGTGGGAACATCACTGGTGTAAATCCAGGTGGTTATACTGCGGTGGGAGCCTCAGCTGGGTAAGCAGTTGTGTGCTGATAATGCTGCGTGTGTTTTTGCTTTGGAAAGGGAGAAGGACTGTCAGGCAGCTCTCGCTCTGTTCAGCGGACGATGGTACGCAGGCCGACAGCTTCACTGCGAATTCTGTCCTGTGACGAGGTGGAAGACTGCTATATGTGGTGAGTCACGTAAACGTTTGGAAGAGAGAATGTGTGTTATGGAAGGAGTACCTGTGGAAGTGAAAAAGAGGGTATTGGCCCGTAGCTTTTGGATCTGCCTAACATTGCAGCTCATTTCTGTCTGGAAGACAAGCAGGCGTTAGCTTGGCTTGCGTAGATCTGAGAAAGGAAGGGTGTGTTCGTACTGTGTCACATAAGCGTTGGAATCGTTCTAGTGGATTTACTTTGGCCTGGAAAGGAAAGTTGGGGTCCTAGCTTTGGAAATCAGTCATAGGGTGGAACTGCAGGAAGTACTAACTGATCTCTTTGAAAAGCAACAGCAGATTCTGAACCATCAGCAGTTCTTAGCGGTAACTACCACATTTGACTCATCTATATTTACATTCTTAGATTAAGGTAGTAATGTTATTTCTGAAAATGATTTTAAGTGAAAACCTCCATTGTTGTTGAAGCGTTAATTCAAAGGAAAGTACGTATCGAAAAATAATCTTGCGTGACTTAAACTGGGAGGTAGTCAGATGCATGTTTTTTGCTTGAAGAAGCAAAATTCAGTTTAGTAAGTTTCTTTCCAGCAGGTACATAACAGAGAGAGATTTAACAGGTCTGGTTCATTAAAAAAAAAAAAAGCAAACCCTAATCTGTTGCAGGCTTATTTGAAAGGCAGAAGTGTCCAAGAGGGAAACACTGCAACTTCCTTCACGTATTCAAAAATCCCAACAATGAGTTTTGGGAGGCCAATAGAGACATACGTATTTCTCCTGAACGGACTAGTCAGTTGTCTAAAAACTCTGAAAGGAGAAACAGAACGAGCCATCGCGATGACTATTACAGCCGGTCAAGGAGAAGGGGCAGCCCAAGCCCGGATCATTCTTACCGGAGAAACGGGGAATCCGAGAGAAAAAAGAACCGCCGCAGAAACAAGAGGAGGCGCCGGTCTGGCAGGTCAAGAAGTCGAGAAAGGAGGAGGTCTCGCAGCAGGGGGAGGAAGAGGAGAGGCCGCAGTCGCAGCAGAAGTCATAGTCGAACGCGCAGTAGGAGCAGAAGTCGGAGTTCCTCCCGCTCCAGGAGCAGGGGCAAAAAGAGGTCGAGCAGCAGAGGGAAAAATAGCGAAACTCCCAAAACAAAGTGAGAATCACTTGTAGAAATTGCTAATTGAGCAAACATAGAGATGACGAATCTTTCCAGTAGGGCACCAGATATATTTGAGTTTCAAATAAAGTGTTCTTGCACATTAAAATGTTTCTTCCTAATGAAAGAACCTAGTTTATTGTGTGCTAAGCTTCAGAAAATTCAGAGTTGTAAGTCCTGTACAAGGTGTGAATGTCAAGTACTCTGGCTACTCTGTCCCTCTGAACTGCCGCACCGTCGGGATGCGTACCGAGTACAAATGGAAAGAGAAGTAAAGCCTCTTTGGTCTATGCTTATTTCTGTGTTACGTGTGTGTCCGGTGTTTGCTGTCCCTGCAAGGAGTTGGTACAGAACAGCCAGCGTGCTGCCAGTTCACACCACGGCGCACTGCAGAACTGAGGCCTGTGCGGCCGACTGCCGTTTGTCTCTGTTGGGAAATCTCTTTCTAGACAAAGTAAATGTGATTATGTTGCGAGTTGGAGAAAAGGGATCGAAAAGGGATCGCTGTTTGTACGATACTTGCTCGGTAGGAGCTCCGTGGTCACAGGGGTTGGATTTTCCTCTCCCCCCTTGACTTGAGCCGGTTGCCTGTAGGGATTGCGGCAGACTAAAACCAGGGAGGAATTAAACGGAAGAACAATCAGTTTATTCAGTACCTTAATCCCCGGAGTAAGAGTGGGGACCGTGCACTTGTAATCCTGGAGCGTGGACAGCGAGTACTTGGCATGCCGTCGGTAGCTGGGAGCAACCTGCCAAACCCGTGACGGAGCAGTGAGAGTAGCAGGAGATGCACACGTGGCTGCGAAGGCTCGAGGTGGTTGCGGAGCAGCTAAAGAAACCGAAGGTTTCGTACCCAAAGCGATACTGCGGGTTTCTGGGAGAGAGGGACTTGACTTTAAAGCCTTTTTGGGCTGCTTTTACGATGGGTGTGAGGCACCCTGCTGCCCAGCTTCTCTGTAGTCACGGTGGAGAGTAGGGCTTGTGAAAATTAAGTTATCAGGGGAAAGCCTTTTTGAAATGATGCTGTGTTAACAAAGTACCTCCAATTAGGTAAACCTTTACAAGTACTTCTTCCCTTTGAAAAGACAGCTTTGTGCTGTCAGAGGGACCGTGACTTGAGAAGGTACTTAACTCGGGCACGCAGGTGCGTCCTTACGCGCCTGGAGAGCGCGGTTTGTGGCGCTGGAGGTGCAGGTGCTCTAAGAGATGCCTCCCTCCCTCCCTCTCTCCCTCCCTTCAGCCTCTCCAAAGAACTGGGGCTCCTGCCGTCAGAGCACAGCTCAGCCCGCCTAAGTGAGAAGCCTAAGGCAGACACACGGAGTGCTCCCCGACAACTGCTCCTTCTGACTCCCAGCAGTATCCCATAAAGTCCCGTAGGAAATCCGGGTATCCAAACTCGACGATAAGCATTCCTCACAGCAAGGACGTCTTTCCCCCAGGATAGTTGAGAGCGAATGAACATTGCTTCTGGATATAATCTATATATTTTCGCTTTTCCAAACGCATACTGCGCCTCGCATGCTGACTATACATCTTCCTTCTTTCATGTGTATCCGTTGTCCGATATGGAGTAATGCGACAGAAGTGCTATATATTGATGTTCAGTTCAACCCCCACTTTCACTATATATTGTCATAACTGTAGGCGGAACTGTAGCTTAGTTAATTTGATTAAATGTTTTAGTTATTAACAGAAGTAGGAATTGCGATTTAATAGCTTTTGAGATTATAACTTTGTTTGAAAAGCATCTTTCAAAGGACAGCACTACGTTTTAAATTCTGTTTGGGGAAACTGGTGCCCGCCGGTCTCTCGTAACGTATCTTTTTCTGACTAGTCCACACAGACGTGTCTTCCCCCAGGTTTCTGTTCTCGCACAGCCCCTCACTCGTCCACCCGCCTCACTCGTGCGGAATGTGGCAAACTCCGGTTCAGTTCCCTGGCACGGAATCGAGCTGGTGTTTTCCACCTGCCCTGGCACCCACCCCCCGGCCCCCACCAGCAGGCCGGTGGCACCTTCCCATCACCGGTGCTGCCGTGCCTCCCGCGGCGGGGGGAAGGGTGGATTCAGGCCCGCCGAGGCATGTGTCAGGCAGCCGCCTGGCGCTGAGCAGCAGCCGAGTGACAGCGGTTGCCGAGCTCCCACAGTGGGATGGATGCTTATTTGGTGAAAACCGGATGACGTAAGCAAAGCAGGATTAGAAAGCATAGTGCCAGCTAAGACCCATGTGAGAATTCCACAGGTAATTAGGTGCCGTGTCCCCACAGTTCCGTAATGGGATCTGGGAAGCTGAGCTGGTGTATTAACAAAAAAAAAAAAAAAAAAAGGGAAAAAAAAAAGTTTCTGTAATTCAAAAAAAGGAACATTTGCTGAGAGATGCATGCAAGAATTTAAATACTTTATCTCAGCTACGGTAATGGCCGAAGCTTCAGCTTTTTGCTTCTGGACCCAAACTTCCTGGCATAGGACCGGTCGCTGTAGCTACTGCTGACATGTGGTCCGATTGTTCCACGGGAAGCGAGAGCTGCAGCTCTGACCCGGGGTTTGCATTTGTTAGCATGAAACTGGGGATTCAACCCGTTTTCCAACTTCGTGTATTTCAGTGTTGTTCCCCCGCTTCATCATCTCCCGTAGGGTTTCGCGTGTTTTGTGTTTCCTGATTAGCCGAGGGAGCTGTTTGTTCCGAAGTGACGATGAGTACCTAAGTGTTGAGCGAGCTGCTTTTCTTCTTCCCAAGGGGAGAAGCCCCAGCAGAACACAGACAGGATTAAAATTTGCAAGGAATAGGTTGTTCTCACTGCGTTTTATTCTGCCTATTCCCCGTAACGGGACCTTATAAAGCGAATTAACGTTGGCCAAGCTTTCCTTTTCCTTTGTTTTTAATGGCTGCTGAAAGGCAGCGCGTTTCAAGGGGCTTTTTTTGGGTGGCGACTCCTGCGGGGATCACCGAGCTGATCCTGGAAGCGGGCGTCGACACAGACCTGCGAGAGGTTGGTCAGGGCAGCCCCCAGCCCGATGGCCCCTCTCCTGGCGGGGATGGAGAGCGGGTTCTGCACCCACCCATCTCCCGTGGGAGGAGGAAGGCAGCGAAGCTGGGCAGGAAGGTGGCAGTTGTCCCGGGGGAGCCGGGGAATGAGTACAGGGACCTCCCGCAGGCACAGGCGGCGTTGCTGCCCGCTGGGAACCGGGCTGGTGCCCTCAGGTTGTGGCTGGCGGCCGCTTCCATGCCATTTCCCTTCCTGCCCAGCCGGAGTGGCGCAGCCCCACCGTGGGGGGTGAGAAGGGCAGTGCACATCCACCTGCCGAACGTGAGGTTTTTATCTGTTAGGGAGGGGGAGCAAGCACCCCTGACAAGGCCTTCCCTCTCTGCCCTGCCCTCACTTGTCGCACAGGGCAGCTTCCCAGCTTTCACTTCCCAGCTCTGCGTCCTTGGACGGCAGGAGGACGTTCTCAGCTTTGCTCAGCGTGCCAGAGGGGGCCCTGACGCTGACCAGCGACGCTCCCGTGCGCTGGAGAACAGGTGGTTCATCAGAAAGGGCCTGCGTAGAGATGTCCTGTCCTGCATCAGCGCCTCTCGCTGAACAGCAAACTTCAGCGTAGGGAGTAACGTCAAAGTCCCCTTTGCATCCCCCAGAGTGCAGCTGATGGCGCTCTCCCCGCAAGGCCGTCGCAATTTAACTAGACCCCCGTTGTGCCATGTACCTTCCTGTTCCGCACTGAAGCCGCAGCTGAATCCAGCATCCGTCTCCAAAGACAGAAAGAGGCGGTTAACGCTGCCAAGCACGGAGCGAGCCCGGTGAGTGGCGCCGGCTCACGGCAGCAGCAGATGCTTAGGAAGGCCTCCTCAGGCTAACAGCCAAGGCCGAGCAATGGGAGTTGATGACCCACAAATCACTTCGACCCAGAAATTCTGATTCTTTAGCTCCCGCCCCTTCCCCATAAGATAGGAAATTTGTGACACAAAATTTTATTTCATGTTAGATTTAAGAAATGCCCCAAGTTGGTAGGTTTTCCCCACCCTTTTGCTGGTAACATCAACCATTTCAGTTCTTTTAGGAAGCTGAAGAACAGATTGATCTGAGATGTTTTTGGTGGAGACTGGGATTGGGAATGGTGCAGTGACTGGCTCATAATTCCATTTAAGGAACTGAATGTTGAGTTTGTGTTATCCAGAACCCTCTATCAAACACACGGTTTAGTTTTCCAATGAAGTGGCACTACCGCATCAATTTAACATCCACTTTCATAAATTTCATGTTCAGTGTGGTAAGCCTTCCAAAAAACTTGCTAACTTATTGCTTTCTGTACAATTTCAATGGATGTAAATAACTAACCTTGGACACAGTATACTCTCACGTTTTTTTAATAAAGTGCTCAAGAACAGGTTAAGCACTGTAATAAAATTCCCCTGTTTTTTAAGCTACCACCGAGTGGCCTCTTCTTTCCCCTGCAAAAAAGAACTAATTATACGTAAAGGCAAAGCAAGGGTGTAAAAATGGACATTTATTACAACTCAACCAGACAGGGACAGACAGGGACCAAACAGTTTATTTGTCACAACCACAACGAAGCTTAATCCAGCCAAGCACATACAAGTGACAGCGTAAACCTTAAAAACATCTTTGATACATATAAAATTGCTTCGGGTTTGACTGAAGTAATTTTACCTCTTCCAGCCTCGGACACGGGGTCAGCTCTGCTCCTACTTCAACCCCATCTATCCGCGTGGGAAACGCGGGTTCCCCCGGTTACAAACGTTTGCATCCCAGAAAGGGCGTAAGCGGATGAATTCTGCGCTGCGAGTCCAGAGACTCTAGCCGGCCTCTGCCCTGGCAGTGTCCCAACGCAGCCCCGCTGCCGACAGCGTTTGCGCCGGGATCAGCAAGCAGCGCCGAGCCTTTGCCAGCGGGCAAAACGTAACGCAGGTCACATCCAGCCCACAGCCCAGCGCTCCCGCCCGGCAAACGGCGACACTGGCTGCGCGTGGCTGCTTCCAGCACCCACACCAAAGCCAAGCTGCACGAAAGCGCGGCACTACTCACCCACGGGAACAAGCCGGAACTCCTGAAGTTCCCGGGGAGGGAGGGGGAGCAGCCCAGCCTTCCCAGGTCTGTGTGGGGACACACTCCAGAGCAGGCACTACCTCCTCAGAAGCCTACACAGATTCCCTCAAGCGGAACAGGGGTAGTGTGTGATCCCTGGCAGCCTGCTGGAGTGTCGGAACACTACCCAGTGTCACTTCACACCACCGGCAGTGCCTCTCCAGGAGCTCCCGCTGCTCACCGGTGG